ACGGGTGGGAAACTTTTTGGCCCGAGGGCCACATCTGGGTATGGAAATTGTATCGCGAGCCATGAATGCTCACAAAATTGGGAGCTGGGGTGCGGGAGGGCTCCGGCTAAGGGCGCGGGCTCTGGGGTGGGGCTAGGGATGAGGATGAGAAGTTGGGGATGCAAGAGGGTACTCCGCTCTCAGATCGAGGGGTTCAGAGGGTGGGAGGAGGATCAGGGCTCGGGCAGGGGTTGGAGGGCGGGAGGGGGTCAGGTTCTGGGCAGTGCTTACCTCAAGCAGCTCCCAGAAACAGCGGCATGTCCTCCTTCCAGTTCCTACGCGGAGGTGCGGCCAGGCGGCTCTGCGCGCTGTCCTGTCCGCAGGCACCGCCTCTGCAGCTCCCGGCCAATGGGAGCTGCGGGAGCAGCACTTGGGGCGAGGGCAGTGTGCAGAGCCCCCTGGCTCCCCCTATGCGTAGGAGCCAGAGTGGGGATATATCGTTGCTTCTGAGAGACGTGTGGAGTGGGGCAAGACCAAGCTAGAGCGGGGCAAGCCCCAGACCCCCACTTCCCGGCAGGAGCTTGAGGGTCAGATTAAAATGTGCGGAGGGCCACATCTGGCCATAATTTGCCTACCTCTGTTTTAAAACAAGGTCTGTAAGCAACTGCATAGCTATTTTGTGTGCAATTACTGATTTGTATTCAAATGACCAGTTCCTTTGGCATGCACAATTATCTGATTTGCATATGCCATTATGGTAACTCTGCAGGACTAACAAAACAAAAACTTCAGACCAACAAATTGTAAAGCATATCCTGGCTCACATGATCAAAATATAGTACGGACTGAGGCATATGAGGATGATAGTGATCCTCCAATGGATGACTGCAAAGTGTCATTACAGATGGTGCAACTGAACCCTTTTAATTATTTTTTCCCTCCCTTGCTCTGCATCTGTATTGCTAGATTGAAAAAGATCATGGAGACAGAAGCTGGAGAAAGAATGCAAGCACGTATATTAGAAAACAGAAAAATAAAACCCAAGCCTAGGAAAGCCCTTAAGCATATACTTAAGTGCGGCCTAGACACCCAAATGGCTGACACCTTATGAATGTATATAGTATTTTATTATAATAATAAATTAGATATAGAGGGATCCATGCAATAATGTTTATTAAGGGTGCAAACTTCAAGACAGCAACAGCAAGTTGTAACATTCACATGTTCTAAGGGGGGGTAGGAGTGGGGCCCCAAGGAGTTAAGTACACAAGATATTAATGTTTTTAAGCATACAGTAGGATTCCAGAATAGTGTAATTTAGTCTGGAGGATTAGTCAAAAAAAAAAAAAAAAGACACCAGACAGAAATAGCAAACCACTACACATCTACCTTTACGTGTGCTATTTATTAAGAGTTTAGGAGCACCTAGTGCAGAGATGAAAAAAAAGCTGCCCATGCAGGTCATCACAGAATTCAAAAAGGACTATTATATAAAGGCATTTGTAGAACACTTAAACGGGATACCATTACTCTTGTGCAACTGACATCAATGTCTTTTTTTTTTAAGATTATGCTTGGTAGTGACAGTAAAAATAACTCTCAGAAAAAGGTCAGGAAACCAAAACTTTTGCATTGTTTCTCTCTGTTCCTGACAGCAATAAACACATTAAATTAGATGGTTTTATTTCTACTGCCATAATAAAGCAGCAATGAAGTTTGAGATTAGGCAACAGTTTAAGACAAAATCACTAATTCATTTAGTTAAGAAATTTGTGCACAAACCTGGGAAGCAAAACATGCACCCAGATAGTCAAAGAATTTTTCTGACACGCTGCAAGGAAACCGACAGGAGACAGGTTAATTATAGGATGCCAGTGATTTAACAAGTTTCTGTTTAGGGTATCTGGGAAACAAGATTAGTGCAAATGCTGAGAAAGTCTAGAAAGGTACAGTCTGCATATTGTTTTAAAGGAGTGGCCAGCAGATCAAACAGGTGGAAATACTACCTGGAAGTGGCTGCTCCTTCCAAGGAAAGAACTAAGGATTATAGCCTCCCAATATAGAGGATGAGTAATGATCAAGCATGGCAGAAAGCATATCAGCCTTTGGAGGAACCTTATTTTATTTGAACTTCTTTTTAAATAAACCCAGCCAGCACTGTTGAGGCCTAATAACCATTAGAGTGTGTGTGAAGTTCATTCCATTAGCCGGTCTAGGGAAAAGTGAGTCATCTGCATTGTCCCATTTCATTTGAAGCATGCAGGGGGTTCAAAAAGTATAAAATTGTACAGTTATGATAGACAGATATTATCTGTGTCACAGGCAAGCTTTAAACATGCTGTCCAAGCATCAGTGTTGCTCACATATTAGGAAAATGCACCCGTTTTCATGGAAATCATAGCATCAGAGAACTGGAAGGGACCACAAGAGGCCATCTAGCCCAGTCCCCTGCACTCAAGGCAGGACTAAGTATTATCTAGACCATCCCTCACAGGTGTTTGTCCAACCTGCTCTTAAAAATCCCCAATGATGGAGATTCCACCACCTTCCTAGGCAATTTACTCCAGTGCTTAACCACTCTAACAGTTAGGAAGTTTTTCCTAATATCCAACCTAAACAGCCCTTGCTGCAATTTAAGCCCATTGCTTCTTGTCCTATCCTCAGAAGTTTAGAACAATAATTTTTCTCCCTCCTCCTTGTAACAACCTTTTATGTATTTGAAAAAAGCGTTATGTCCCCTCTTAGTCTTCTCTTCTGCAGACTAAAAAAAACCCAGTTTTTTCAATCTTCCCTCATAGGTCATGTATTTTAGACCTTTAATCATTTTTGTTTCTCTTCTCTGGACTTTCTCCAATCTGTCCACATCTTTCCTGAAATGTGGTGCCCAGAACTGGACACAATACTCCTACTGAGGCCTAATCAGCACAGAGTAGAGCAGAAGAATTACTTCTCATGTTTTGCTAACAATACTCCTGCTAATACATCCCAGAATATTTGCCTTTTTTTGCAACAGCATTACACTGTTGACTCATTTAGCTTGTGATCCACTAGGACCCCCAGATCCCTTCCCGCAGTACTCCTTCCTAGGCAGTCTTTCCCGTTCTGTATGTGTGCAACTGATTGTTCCTTCCTAAGTGGAGTACTTTGCATTTGTCCTCATTGAATTTCATCCTATGTACTTCAGACCATTTCTCCAGTTTGTCCAGATCATTTTGTATTTTAATTCTATCCTCCAAAGCACTTCCAACCCCTCCCAGCTTGGTATCGTCCACAAAACTTTATAAGTGTACTCTCTATGTCATTATCTAAATCACTGATGAAGACATTGAACAGAAGCACACCCAGAACCGATCCCTGCAGGACCCTACTCGTTACGCCCTTCCAGCATGACTGTGAACCACTGAGAACTACTCTCTGGGAAGGATTTTCCAACCAGTTATGAACCACCTTATAGTAGCTCCATCTAAGTTGTACTTCCCTAGTTTGTTTATGAGAAAGTCAGGCTAGACAGTATCAAAAGCTTTACTAAGAAGTCAAGATATACCACATCTACCGCTTCCCCCCCCATCCACAATGCTTGTTACCCTGTCAAAGAAAGCTATCAAGTTGGTTTGACACAATTTGTTCTTGACAAATCCATGCTGCCTGTTACTTATCACCTTATTATCTTCTAGGTGATGGAAATGGATCGCTTAATTATTTGCTCCATTATCTTTCCGGGTACAGAAGTTAAGCTAACTGGTCTGTAATTCCCTGGGTTGTCCTTATTTCCCTTTTTATCGATGGGCATTATGTGTTATAATTATGTCTAATTGTACAGCATTCAAATATTCCTGTTTACATGTGTATTTAAAAGAAATATATAATAAAACTGCAAATATTTAAAGTACAGAGTATGCAGATTAATTTTCAGTGGACAATTTTCCTCTGCAGCTTTGACAGTATCAGGGGTCATTTACTGCTAGTGCAAACTGAATTCATTAACAAATTGCTAGCTAATGAAAAGTTAGTATATTTATTGTTTTTGTTAACCAAATTAAGGTTAGTTGATCTAATTAGCAACTTTCCTATTTTAGTAGATCTACGTAATAAAAATCACGTTGAATCCAATTTCTAAAACCAACTTACCGCCAGTATTAATCTTTCTTTCCTAACAGATTCTTTGGCAGTGACAAGCAGAAATTTTAAACCCATGTACAAAGGCAAATCACATATCCAAAATGCAGAAAGTTATCCTATTACTGTGATGATTTCTAATTTTCTAACACAAAAGCCATCTAGATCACTGCTTCTCTTCTAAGCCACATCATACAACTGACTGAATGAATGAGAAATCAAGGATACGTGACCCCAAAAAAGAGGGTTGTACTTAACCATTACTATTTGATCACTCAGCAGCAGCAAAACTAACTAAGAATTTTCCCTCATTCTCAAATTAAATATTTTTCACGATAAATTACTATTTTATGGGAATCAGGGAGAAGTACTAATTGAAATTTATGTTGTATGCAATATTGCTACTGCTTCTCATCAAAATAAATAAAACGCGGTATATTACTTTTTAAATGTTGACTGAATAAGTAGCATAGTAGCAAATGTATCTTTTACAAAGAGATATGAATAATTTAGAGGGCAAATAATTTTCAAATTGAAATTAACACCATTAAGAAGCAAACAGGTCTTGTGCATTATCTGAGGATATCTAGAGAAAGTCTATCATTTTGCTAACCACTCAACAGATGTTACCATTGATCCATACAAATTGAAGGTACGAGAACATTTATCTTGCATAGAAAGAGAAATTGTGCATTCAGAAAAAGGTATTAATTAGGTATTTTATCACCTGCCTGTTCATTTACATGTAGTGCTTGTTAATTCTGTCCCCAATGCAATATTTTATTAGTCAGGAAAAAACAGTAGTCCACCGTCTGCTAAAACAGAATGATATGTTAAAATCACACACACAAGAGCAGTGTGACTGTATGAACAATGGTTCTGAATCAAATAAAGGTTTTACTTACCTTCATATGTTTCTAATATATGTACGGTGTCACCTATTTGTAAGGAAAGTTCATCTGCTCCCCTTGCATCATAATTATAGAAAGCTAGAAAGAGAGAATACTGTTATTAGCACACAGAAAAACAGCATAATTTTCAAGCTACTGATTTTTACTTCTACAAGGAATTTTCCTCCAGGGCAGATTGGAAGAGGCCCTGGAGGTTTTTCGCCTTCCTCTGTAGCATGGGGCACGGGTCACTTGCTGGAGGATTCTCTGCTCCTTGAAGTCTTTAAACTACGATTTGAGGACTTCAGTAGCACAGATATAGGTGTGAGGTTTTTTGCAGGAGTGGTGGGTGAAATTCTGTGGCCTGCGTTCTGCAGGAGGTCAGACTAGATGATCATAATGGTCCCTTCTGACCTAAATATCTATGAATCTATGAAAGTGACTTTACACCACAGTCAGCCTCTTGACCCAATATTTTATACTGGCTTTATATATCTTCAGTACTATTCTAATCTACTACTTCTTCAAATCATAAGACAGGCCGAAAAAAAAAAGCCACAAGTCATCTTTGTAGAACTGTAACATTTCACCCAGTTTCTAACATCACAAATTCGAAACATCACAAATATTTTTGCAATTATGTCTCAGATTTGTTATTTGAAGCAATACATTACTGTAAATATAATTTCCGATTTGCTTTTTTTCATAAAAATATGTACATCCTAACAAAATATGTAAAATACTTTGTGTTAGCCTCATGAGGTTTTGTAATTATGGTAACTACCATATATACTCGATCATAAGCTGGTTCGTTTATAAACCGACACCCCCCCCCCCCCCAAGATGGATAAGTAAAAATGGTAAAAACTTTCATAACCGACCCTATATTTCAGGGGTTGGCAAACTTCGGCTCCTGGCCCATCACGATAAGCCGCTGGTGGGTCAGGACATTTTGTTTACCTGGAGCGTTCGCAGGCACAGAGCCCCTCAGCTCCCTCTGGCCACAGTTTGCTGTTCCCAGCCAATGGGAGCTGCGGGAAGTATTAGATATTCAATGATTTCATAGAGTTTAAAATCACCAAATTTTGGTGTAGACCTGTTTATAAGCTGACCCCCGCTCTTTGATGTGTCACTTTTTTACCAAAAATATTCAGCTTATGAATGAGTATATACAGTATATTATTTTGTCCTTCATTGTCATCTTTATAACAGCTTTATTTAGATACACTTGTAAACTGTTTAGAAAGCTTGATTTATGAATTTTAAAACAAAGCACCTTAATATCACTAAAATACTAATGGACAATCCGTGTCTCAGGCCACACACTAGCAAACTACGCTTTTATTGCATCAATACTATATCCTAAAAACAAAAACCAGGATTAAATAATTGTGCATACAAATTAGGCACATTCATTATTAGCAAAAGGTTAGTTATGAAAAGCAGAGGGATGAAATTTTGAGTTAAATACCTTAACCCTCACCTGATTTGCGAGAAAAAGCCAGTATCCCTGATTCTATTCAGGTTCTTACACTTCAGCCATCACTGGTATCAGATTGTCTGACAGCAGACCAATGTTGCCCTATAATTACCACTAATCCAGAAGATTTGTCAAACAATAAAAAGGAATCATGTATGTGCATACAGTGAAGTGTTGGGTTTTTTTAAAATCTGCTCATGTAAGCCCGACTTGGACTTAAAAAAAAAAAATTACCAGGAGTGTTTGTTTTCACAGAAATTTCCAACAGTCCCAGATAATTGTACCTAACATGGCAGATTACAGTAAATGGTGAAGTGCAGTATCCAAGTATTCACTTGCCCTCAATGTTCAATTGACAGCGTCTTTGGTCACACAATTCACCATAAGCAATAAGGGACTAGCTGAATGGAGACTTAGTGCTCGGCAAACTGAAGTGTGAATCTACCGCGTTCTACTTTGCCACACACTAAATGGCCACGTGGATCCTGCTACCATACACTAAAAGTTCCATAATGCACTCATGGAACTTTTATTACATGGAAGCAAGGCAACACAGCCACTACAGCGCTGTATATTCACACCACGACTTGCCATGCACTAAATTAGTAGAGATGTCCATGCTATATTCAGTGTAAACAGTTGACAGTAGTATAAAAATAATTGATACAAGAAAAAAAAAAGGGATTGCTAGTGCAGAAGTTCTCTCAAATCATATTAGACTACAAATACATCTAAATATATTCTGGTAATACTTTCATTTATTGGACCTCCTTGTGTACTGTAATCACTCTGACAAGTCAAGAATCTCTCCCCCCTCCATATAAATCAGTAGTTTCTCAAATGAATTTCGTATTTTACTGTCTGCATTTAAAAATTAACAAAATGGCATCATAAACCTATACAATTCATTAGCATAGGATAAGCCTATTGTAACTGCATTCTTAGGTCTATCTGATTCTTGGGTGGACTAATTAAAACTCTAAACCAAGAATCCAAGCAATTATATTAAACATAACCCACAATTTTATCCAGATTCAAGCCTCACAGTGCATTGGACAGAGTGAATCTCAGGGGAAAAGAGAAGAGCTCTAGGTCATTGGTCTACAAGTGATGTCTGGGTAAGATTGAACGTTCTTCTAAAAACTATGCTCTAGGAATTATTTTGGGGAAGTTCTATGGCCTGTGTCATATAGGAGGTCAGACAAGAGGGTCACAATGGTCCCTTCTGGCCTTCAAACCTATGAATACCAGCAGTACAGAAAATTATGCAAAAAATTATAAATGTTTGCAAAGAAATTCCATAAATATGAAGTGATAAAGATACACAAGCCATGTAAATGCATCAATGTCAATTTAATGTCATTTTATTATAATTTGTGAACTCCAGCTAGTAGTTTACTATAAACAGTTGCAGGATACATAGGTGGGCTGTAGGATTCTAAAGTCTCTGCCCAGTAAAACACCAATGAACCCTGTACCTGTGCAAGTGTATACCCAGATTTATCTTACAAAAAATTGTACAAGCTATGCACCTACAGACCCTGATAAAAAATGTCCCTAAAATGAACACTGGAAGTTAACTGCTGTACATTGCTAAGGCCCAAGGGCACTGCTGAGCTTCACATGACTGCATGAATACATTGTTCATTATCTGCTGGACCTCATTCCTGTCTGACGAGTAATTTCAGAAAGATTAATTGTTTTGATCAGATGTACAGTGGCAAGATGTTCCAATGACAACTCAAAGAAAAAAATTCAGAAACACAATAAAGTAAAACATGACTTTACATCGATTATTTAGAAATTATAGTAGATTTTTTGAAGTGCTAGCTGACAAAACGAGTGAAGTCTTTGAAGCTGTGATTTTCTGAAATAAGATCGCCCCCCGTTTTTGTTTTGTTTTTTCTTAGCAAAACTTGAAATAAAATAGTTGAACCGTTGTTGTTTTGCGTTAAACTAGGGATTCCAACAAGAATACATTTCAGACATCTGGCATCTCTGTGAATTCCACAATAGAGCGATCTTGTAGAACAATGCATCCCATGCAACAGATATGGTTTCAAAAGTTGTAGGAGGCCCAATAGCTACCAAAGTGAATACAGCAGCTTTATCAAACAACACTGTTGCTCAACATGGTAGCGTCATGACTGAGGATATTTCAAGAACAATTGCTTTCAAAACTCATGTTAAAAATTCCCTACTTAGCAATACAAAGTGAAGAAGCAACCTACATCATTGGTGAAGAACAGAGTCTAGGGTATGAGAATTCTGTATCCAATAGTTCCCTTCAGGAAGGCTTACTATTTTATAAAGCTGTGCTGGGACACACACAACAGGGGAAAGTTCATTTAAGACATTTCAGGAGGTAAAAATTTCAGTATGTGCCAGGATTACTTTTCTGCAATCACATGGATTGTGCCATAACCAAGACAGGTAAGAATAAAGCCTGGTCACACAGATCCAAAACATTGAACTTCATGCCTCAGGGCTTTATTTCACACACTGCCGAGATCATGCTTTTAAGAAAATGCCTGAAAACCTGTGCCAAATTCTTGATTAAGCTGTTAAAATACAGAACTTTATTCAAGACTGAATGCTCAAGCTTTCTCATTGCTCTATTATAGCTAAGATTCCCTTCAACAAAACCAGCAAATGTAAGGAATTTGATAATCATGATAAAATGACAAAGGCCAGGCTCCTCATATGGCTTCACAGCCCTAGACTCCAAATATGAAAAGAGTGTGTGCTCCCCAAGGGGACAATCTGTTTAAACTACCTTTTTAGAGCCCTTCAGAGCTTGCCAGCATCAAAGCCCTTATTCCCCCTGCCCTTATTCCCCCTTTTTTTAATTTTTAATATGAGTATCCCATTGGCATGAATCTTATTGCTCCGACTGTTTTCCTTAATCATTTCTGAAAGAATCAAAACATGTTTTTCACAGCAGTCAGCCATTTATCACCCTGTCTCTGTTAGCTTCCAGATACACTGTTTCAAGAAACAAGTCTAACTGTTGACAATAAAGTTCTTAATTACCCTTTGAGATTTTGATATATTCTTCTTTTTTTTTTTTTTTTAAGTTCCACTTTGATACATTCAGAGGAGCCCAATACGGGTTGCTTTCTCAACTGTCCCATTGGACACCTTTTGTTCTGTGAAAGGCGGACTTTAGAGTTAGCAAATGAAATGCTAACAACATATAAATCAACAACATAAAATATAAAACCGAGCAAATAAGGAACAGCAGACATGACACCTATTAGAGGACTCTGAAGGAATACAAGAGATTGTTTAAGGTAACAAAATAAAATGTTTCAATAGAACTGTCACAAAAATAAATTGCAGACTTTTACTGGAAACTAAGCACTTCAGCAGTATTTAATGTAAACTTTAGGGAACAGTATGGTTCTACTAACCCCAAAAACCAGACAATTTAATTTAACCTTAAATAAAATTTTCACTTTTTCATTAAAAACAGAAACCTCTGCTAAATATTTGAAGTGGAGCACTTTAAAAACATAATTGCAATTCAGCAAAAGTATTCCAAGAAAAAACATTAACACTAATTTTTTGAACGGTACTGAACAGTGAAATGTTAACAATGAGTACACATCTTGTTTCC